AGAATCTTCTTTGGGCATCAGGATAAGTATTAGAATTTAGTTAGGGATTATTCTGTTTTAGTAAAGGGGTAGTTGTAGGCTCTTCTCCAAGATCCATGACTTCACTAACCCTGAGTAGTTTGCTAGATTTCCAGTTCCAGGTATGATTTCTTTCTTGACAAGCAGGCCTTAAGTCCAATGAGAGGGCTGCTGGTTTTCACCAAGGTTTGCATGCCGTTATTGTACCCTTATGGTTATCATGCCATGCTGGTGGTCGTTGTGGTTTAGAGGCATCATAGCTAAGTAGGACTGGTCTTTGCTTCCTTCCCTTGGAAGCTTGTTGTGCCTTCTAGTACTGTGAAAACTAGGCCTCAGGAAGGAGGCTTTCAGATCAGATCCAGCTCAGGTCCTCTGGATCCTGTGTCCAAAGTGCATGGTATCTTCAGCAATAGGAACTTACCTCTGAGAGGCAGCCAAGGGCAACATTCATAGCCGATCATGTTTTGGGAGTCTCTTGGATATCCCTTTCCAACATCTCAAAAGAGGGCCTCTCATGCCTACTTTTTTTTTGGGGGGGGGGGGCTGTTAGCTATTCTGTAGCCCTTGCGGGGAGCATTGTCAGCACAGATGGGAAAATTTTATTTAAACTGTGTATATACACAGACTTCTATGTATTCTATGTAATTTTAGATAGATACCATGATCCCCTCATCATATCCAGAAGAAAGGGCTGGGATAGCCTGGTTAAAAGAACAGAGGCCACATCATCATATTGGGGCACTTAGAGCATCCAGCGGTGATGACTGGGAAGCAGTCCTGCTGGAATTTTCTACTGAGGGAGCCTCAGGCAGAACTCCCCTCCACAGGCGAGTGTCCAGCCTCTTGTTCCCACCAGGCATATTTATACTATGGGTGAACAGTAGTAACCTCCGTGGGAAACAGTCTCCCTTCTCATCGTTCTCAAGGGTACAGTGCTTTAAACATACCTTGCTGTTGGGTGTTCTTCTCCCTGCCTCAGAGGCAGGGGATCAGCCTGACTTAATAAAGGGCCCCAGAGGCTAATATTCCTATTGTTTTCAGTGCTGTTTTGTTGTTGTGTTTCACTTATATTTTTGATATTTATGTGCGTCCCTGTCTGGCCTTGGAACTCACTATGGAGATCAAGGTGGCCTCAGCCTCCTGAGTGCTGGGTTTGCCAGTGTGCTGTCTCACCGCACTTAGCCTTGCTCTGCTCTGCTCTGTCCCCACTCCTTCTCATCCCTGAGCAACTGCCTGCCTGCTTTCTGTCAGTACAGATTGTTTTTCACTTCCTAGATGCATGTATGAATGGAACCTTATAATATATACTATTTTGAGCTGGATTCCGTCAGCCATGTTATAATTATCAGTAAACTTCATCTTTATTGCTCAGTGGTGTTCTTTTGTGTAAATGTATCTAAATCTGTTGGTTCTTGAATATTTAGATAGCCATTCAGGTTATATCAGGAATTTTTGGCTATTATAAATACATTTTTTTTTCTAGATATCTATGCCTTGGTGTAGATATACGCTCTTTTCTCTCTCTTTCTCTTTTAATACCTGTGAGTAGAATAGCTGGCCTTGGGTTCTAGGATTTTAAGCATGTTCCATCATGCCCACCTCTTACCATTTTCTCTGTCTCTAGTGACTGATCTACCCATGGAACCTTAGGGCTGTCCCAGATGTGCAAGGCCCTGCACATCTTTTCTTTCTCTCCTCCCCCTTCTCTCTTACACTGTAAGCATACGCTTATTTTTTTTAAAGATACTTCCTAAAGGTTTTCCAAAGTGACTGTACCATTTTGTGTGTGGCTCTCTCTCGCACGATATGTATATACCTCAGCATGTGTATAGAGGCTGGTGTCTGACTTCAGTTATCTCCCTCTGTTGCTCTCCACTTACAGAAATATAGTTTGCCATTTTGACTGGTCAGTGAGCCTCCAAAATCTGTTTTCCCCTACTTCCAACGCTGGGGTTTCTGGCACTCACTGTCATAATGGGCTTTTTTGTGGGTGCAGGGGATCTAAATTCAGGTCCTTATGCTTGTGCAGCCGGGCCCTACGCCCATTCATCCACCTTTTGCATTCCGTCACTAGTGTGCAAATGTTCTGGCTGCTTGGTATCCTCACTGACTTTTGATATCTTTTCATTTTAACTATGCTAGAAGCCATGCCATGGCATGTTATGCCCCTGATTTTCAGCATGGCTGCTAATAAGGTTGACTATCTTTTCGTGTGCTTATTTACTTTCAAATTTTTGTTTGTTTGTTTGTTTTCTTTCTCCCTTTTTCTTTTTCTGACTCTCACACAATAGCCCTGTGTAGTCTCAAACTTTTTATGTAGCCCAGGCTGGCCTCAATCTCGTGGAAATCCTCCTATCTCAATCCACTCAACCTACTTAGTGAGCTACCATACTTACGCCAATACAGATATTTTGGGTAGATTATTTATTCAACTATTTTGTCAAAATTTTAATTGGTATTTTAATTAATCTTTATATTGTTGAGTTGCAGAAATACCTTTTATAGTCCGGATACATGTTCTTTGTTCTTTGTATGTTCAGTAATAGATCTTTCTCTCTCTCTCAGTACTGAGGGTTGGGCCTAGCACCCTGCATAGTCAGTGCTCTACCACTAAGTTGTATATTCAGCTAATAAATATTTCTCTCAGTCTTGTCCTAGCTGTTAAATGTTAAAAGACATATGGCCAACAGACTTCAACAGCCCTCTTCCTCAAGCCCTCATAAGAACATATGAAATACAAAGCTGCCTTAATGTAGTCTTCATTTCTAGATAAGTGACACTTGCATAAAATACGGTGTCAAAAGTGACAGCTCAAGAGAATTGTCATTGTTCAGCTAAATGACCTTAACCCCTTTGGTCATCGAGCACAGTGAGGAGGTAACACTGTTTCCCTTTCCTGAGGCTGACTGCTCAGTGGTCAGTCATCCCGCCCCCCCAAGAGGAGTACATTAGTAACATCTAGGAGGAGGGCTTTGGAACCTTCCAAGGGGGAATCTGGCTCCCCTGTTGAGCTGTGTGATCCTGAGTGAGTTACTCAATCTCTTTGTAGCTCATTATCTTCAGGTATAAAATTAAAATAAAAATGGGACCTGTCTAATGCAGTCACTTTGTGGATGACTAAAGGAAAACACCCTGATGATTTGAAAGGGTTCCTAGCGCAAAGGTAACACTCTGGAAATGCTGGCTCTGGCTCACACGCTCGGCCAGCTCAGGCTGGACACCAGGACTGCAGTGCTGCCTACAACACTCTGGGTTGCTTTCGGTTTCTGTGGGCGACTTTGCCAATACCCAGGTGGGACATGCTGTTTGAAGACTCCTACTCAGGTGGAGATAGGAAGGGGAAGCCAAATTCTGTCTGTGGAAGGCTTTACTTTTAGACATAGTCTTTCCCTTCTGTTACTATGACCTTTTGTAATAACATCATTGGCCCATGTCTCTTTACATATTGGACACAAGAATAATAGCTAATAAATTATTCGATGTCTTATTCATTGAATGTGGACCTAAATGAGGAGATGGGGAGTGACAGGGTTATTACTCATTGGTAGAATGCAATAAAGTAGAGCAGAAAATTGAGAGAGGAGAGGAGAGAGGAGTTAGACATTAGAAAATGTCTCTTAGGTGAAGCAATTTGACTTTGAACACACAAGCAATTAAAAGTGGCAAAGCTGGAATTCAGATGTAAGTCCTCTGATTTCCAAATCTTGTATTTTGCACTCTGCCACACATTTCTCGCATTATTGACTTCTTGCCTATTTCGGCATTAGAGGCTGATATGAAACAGCTTCATTTCAGTAAGTGCCTATGAGTGACTTTGTAATAAAACTGCACAAAGGAGCATCCTGGATCTTTCTGTGTGCTTTGTATACTTCCCTTCCAAGGAATGCTCTGGATCTTGTCAATCACTAAGCTACTATTTTCAGCCTCTAGAAAATGAGCTCTTTTTCCTTGAAAGTAGAGGAGTAAGCCAAAGAGTGGGCCAGAGGGGGAGCCTGAATGTTTATTAAAGGACATTTATATTCAACTTACATTATTCAAAGTCCTCTTGTATTGCAATATACATACTTTCGATTAGTGGAAACTTCTCTTGGGCTAAACAATGCACTTTTCATGTCGAAAACAAAGAGTGTCTTCTGATCTTTGTGAACGCACTTGACTGCACATGTAACAAACTTTCTAATTAAGAACAATGAATGCCTTCAGAACTGGCAGCAAAAATGCAGAAAAGGAAAAAAAAAGTTAAGTTCTCGGTGTGAATCTGTTGGAATGATTAAAATACATAGCACTTAACCAGAAGAAATGAAGTGTGACTAATTGTTGCGTACGGACTTCTGACTTCAGGGTAAGGGGCATTTCAGATGGCCTCACGGTGTGGGTGGAGAGATGCTTAGGAACGACCTGCCTTGGGTCAGTGCTGGCGTTAACCTCCAATTCCCAGTAAACTGGGAATTGGTTTCAGTTTTGGTTGAATCTTCCACTTCCTGGGTTGTTGGTGATTTTATGGAAATAGTGGCAGTTAATTTAATACTCATACAACATTGATTCCTGTACTTGTTTTTTCTTCTCTTTTCCTCCCTTTTTGGCAGCGCTGAGGTGGAACTTTAGACCACTGAGCTACATCCCTAGCCCTTCAATTTTTGATGTATAACAATGAACAGGTGTGTGTAGTGATTCATCTATAATCCCAGTACTTGGGAGGGTGAGGCAGGAGGATTACTGAGAGTTCAAGGTTCAGCCTGGGCCACATGGTAAATTCCAGGCCACATGGTAAATGGGGCCACGTAGTGAGACTCCATTTCAAAATCGTACCAAACCCACAAATTCCTCCCTGGTCGAGACAGTCTTAAGATGTGGTGAACAGATGTTGTAATCCAGAAGCAACTTAGTTTTATGAGAAGGCCCTGATTTTGTCATCACAGTAAGCAGGATTAACGGGTAGGGCGGGTTCCTTCTTAACATGGTATCAATCTCTTTCCTTGCAGTGCCTGGTACTTCTAGGTCAGTCCTGGCTGAAGAAATATGGTTACTATAAGGTTATCTTAATTTCTTTCTACCTAGAAGGAGTAGCCGCCGTCATCACGTTACTTCTGAGACAGGAATATTTTTACCGTTTGGCTGTTCATCTCACTGTTATCAGGTAAGTAAATGCCAGGTCCCATTTAGCATTATTCCACACTTTTTCAGCACTCTTCTAAACACTGAAATATCTTTAATCTGGGTACGCAGAGTTACAAGCAGGAGTCACCACACCAGGCTTACCATATTTGATCTGAATGGAATTTAACCCTCATTTGTAGGCGGGGGCATTTTACCTTTCAGTGAAATCATTTGAATGTGAACAGCTTGCCTGTTAGAAGAATTTCCTATAATAGACTTGTGCTAAAAAGAGGCTTTGTTTAATAGCTAGGTGTAATGGCCCAGCCCTGTAATCTGGCATCCAGAGGCTGAGGCAGGAGGATTGCCGTAAATTTTAGTTGAGCCTGAACTACTGAGTAAGACTGTCTTAAAAGAAAATAAAACCAACTAGCCAAACCAACCAAACAAGCAAAACACAACAACAACAAACAAAACAATCTCAACAAGGGGCTATGAGATAGCTCAGTTGTTAAACTGCTTTCTACACAAGTGTTAGGGTCCCTGGTACCTACGTAAAAAGCCAGACACAACAGCATGCATCTGTATCCCAGTGCTTGGGAGTGAGGCATGAACCATGAGGTAGAGACAGCAAGGTCTCTGGAAGTCACTTGCTGAGTTGATGAGCCCTTCTTTCAACAAGAGAGACTTTGTCTGAAAAAACAAGATGGAGGGCTGGATAGATAGTTCAATAGTAAAAGAGCTTACTGCTCTTGCAGAGGACCCGGTTTCAATCCTTTTAGTTCCTGTCATCCATATGGTAGTGACAGGAACCATCTTTAACTCCAGTCCCAGGGGATTTGATGCCCCCTTCTGACTTCTGTGGGCTCCTGTGCATACATGTGATACACATACACATTCTCAGGCATACATACATACATACATAAAACACACTAAACAAATATATAATTTTTTAAATGAAGAGTGCTTGAGGAAGACACTTTTAGTACACATGCTCAAACAACCCGCTTATTCACACATACCTACACAAACACATATATACCACACACATATAATAAATAAATAAATGTAAAAAGAAAAAGTAAAATAAAACAACAATAGAAACCTAGGTGTATGCACACTTGTAATTCCAGTACTTGGAAGGTAGAAGCAGGGGAAGCAGAAGTTCCAGGTCATCCTTGGCTACATAGCAAGTTCAAGGCCAGCCTGGGCTACATGAGACCATCTTAGAAGCAAGCAAGCCAACAAATGTTTTGTGGATTGCTGGAGTTGAGTGCGATCTCCTAGTTCATATGTATGTGTACTTATTATCATGCCTATTCTCTTCTGAGCTATTCTCCACCCTCCTCACCATTCCACATTCAGGCTTATTAAAACACAACAAAACAAAACTATGTGAGAGAGAGCAAGCATGTGATCCTTGCCTTTCTGAGTCTGACTTAGTTATCTCCCTGGACCTAGTGCTCTACAGTTCCATTCGCTTTGCTACTTAGGTCAGGATTTCGTTCTTCTTTATAACTAAATAATATTCCATTATATATATGTATATACATATATATGTATATACACATACATATTTTCCTTATCTGTTCATCCATAATAGGCACCTAGGCTGATTCCATATCATAGCTACTGTGAGTGGTACTGCAATAAGCTAGGCCTTGTGAGTATCTCCTTGGCATCTGACCGTTTCCTTTGGTGGTATACCCAGCAGCAGAGCAGCTGGATCTACTGGCCCTCTAGTCTCAGGTTCTGGAGGAACCGTTGCAGTCTTTCCCACAGCAGCTTCTCTAATGGATAGGCCCATCTGCAGTGTGTGGGAGCCTTCTCCACACTTTTGACTTTTGGTTTCTGTGCTTTTGATAATAGCCATTCCTTTTTTAAAAGATAGGGTCTCGCTTTGTAGACCTGGCTGGCCTGGAACTCAGGGACATCTGTCTGCTTCTGCCTTCTGAGTGCTGGGATTAAAGGTATGCAACATTGCGCCTGGCGGATAATGAACATTTTAACTGGAGTGGAGAAATACCTGATAATTTCCTGATGACTAATTTAGCGTGTATCTATGCCATTTGCTTATCTTTTGAAAATTATTTTATGTGTGGGTGGTTTGCCATATATATATCTGTGTACTATATGTGTACCATATTGTGCCAGTGGAGATCAGATCCCAGGAACTATACTTACAGGTTGTTGTGAGCCACTGTGTGGGTGCTGGGAGTTGAACTCAGTCCTCTGAAAGAGCATCCAGTGCTCTTAATCATTGAGCCATATCTTCAGTCTGGCTGTTTGTATTTCTTTTGTGAAAAGTTTGTTCAGAATATTTACTGGGATTGCCATTAGTTTTAGGTTTGTTTGTTTTTTTTTTAAATAGTTTGCTGATGTAAAGTTAAAAAAAATTCTATATATTCTGCATATTAATCCAGGTGAATAGTTGATATTTATTTTCTCCCATTCTGTAAGCTCTCTCTTTACCCTGATGTTTTTCCTTTTGCTTTGAATACATATTTTAGTTTCATCTAATTCTATTTGTCTATTTCTGCTTCATGTTTTCTGTGTTTTTTTTCAATATTTTTTTATTTTTAAATAATTTTATACGTTCACTTGTATCCCAGCTGTAGCCATCTCCCTGTTTTCTGTGTTTTGAATATCGCTCCTATGCTGAACAACTTACATGACTTCTTATTTTTCTTCGACTTACCCAGTCTCTTAAAGTGTTTCACCTGTCTTCTACTTTAGCTTTTGTTTGTTTGAGATAGGGTTTTACATAGCCCAGGCTGGCCTGTAACTGGCTGTGTAACTAGAGTTGACTTGAATTGTTGATTCTCCAGCTTCTATATCCCAGGTTCTGGGGTACATGCATGATCTACTGTGTCCAGCTTTGCTCATCGTGTTAAAATTATTTTATGTGTATGAATGTTTCACCTGTATGTGTGTGCCTGGTGCCCCCATAGAGGACAGAAGTTACAGACAGGACTGGAGTTACAGACAGGAGCCACCATAGGTGCTGGGAACCAAACCTGGATCTTTTTAAAGAGCAACCAGTTGTCTTAACTGCTGAGCCATCACTCCAGCCCCTGTTTTGTTTTGATCTGTGCTTTCTAGTTGTAGAATGTTCACATGTGTATAGTATTTTAACTTTTTTTCCTTCAGAGATTGTACATGCCTCTTTTTGCCTATTTAACTTGCCACTGGCTGACATGATCGATGCAGATTTACTGAAGTTCAACAGGCAGTAAGTGTATTTATTCAGAAATTAACAACAAAATGGTAGGAATTACTAGAGTCCCTCCAGCTGAGTCATATTGACATCACAAACACATACGAGGGTGATGATCTAAGGGCTTCACCCGGACCAAGAGAACAAAATGTTAGAGAATGGTCACATTTATTCACGGGGCCACTTTTCCTTTTCTTCGGTCTGCAGTGCTGTGGATCGAACCTCAGGGCTTTGCACATGCTGGGCAAGTGCTCTGGCCTTGAGCTGCATCCCTTGCCCCGGGCAATATTTTCCTGTTCTGAAAAGATATCATAATTGTTATTGCTTAGGTTCACACAGCCAGGGCTATGTCAGGGTTAATGCTTAGGAACTGAAGTGAAATCTCAATTTGTTTTATCTTGCATGAATTTCAATGCACCAACTTTTACCAAATTTTAACACACATAAGCACTCTATGGCTACATATATGGTTACACTGTATGCTTACAGAGGGGCACCTTCCTGAAGTCTCAGCCCTTTAGACTGAGGCAGGAGGATTACCTCAAGTTTAGGGTTAGACTGCTAAACAGTGAGCTGAAATTCAGCCAGGGCTACATTGTCTCAAACAAATCAACAGCAGCAGCAGCAGCAACAACAACAACAAAAAGAATAACAACAAAAGAGTTAAGTTCTATTATCTGGTAAAAATAAGGAATTAGTATTTTATAATTGCTAAGCTATTTCTACAGTTGCTTACTTAGGCTGAAGAGCACTTCATACATGAAGAGCCCCCTCACACTCAGATATGCATACATATTTGAGTATAGAAATACAACAGCTGTGCTGGGAGGGAGGAGCACACCTTTAATTCCAGCACTCCCGAGACAGAGGTAGATGGGTCTCTTTGAGCTCAAGGCCAGCCTGGTCTACATAGTGCGTTCCAGAAAACAAGCCAGAGCTACGTAGTAGTGAGACACACTGTCTCAAAAAAAGAAGAAATGTAACAAATGTTATTTATCTTGATAAACACCAATGCTATTTTTGTCTCTTTCAGGTCTCCTCTTTCCTTTATGGTTTTTGGCATCAGTGCTTTGTTTACCAGACCTGCCCAGTCTTTAGCTCCCATGTTAGTACTGTCTAAGCTAAACCAGGATGGATATGGAGAACTAGACAACAGATAGAGTAAAAAAAAAAAAAAAAAAAAACCTTGGCCGTCATGCAAGCAAATTCGCCTTTTTCCGTTAACTATTAAAGTATCATGGACTTTGGATATTGTTAGCTGCTGCTCTCATATCTCAAATGAGCTATAATAAAAAAGTATGAGCTCTGGCATAGTTTTGATATAATTATTGAAATCACATATATTGCATATGTCTGTATACTTCACATAAAACTACATATTGATTATATTTTCTAAGTCTGTTACTCCATTTCATGTTTTTGAGAACTTGCTAGACGAAACAGTACTGGGAATAGAAGATGAATAAGGAGCCTCCAGAGGGCTCTAAAGATTGCAAAATCCCAAGACAGGTCCCCCCCAAGGTCTGGGAAGATAGCAGCGTGGTAGAACATTACCTAGCATACTGGAAGCTGTAGGTTTGACCTTTAGTACCACAAAAATAAAAATAATCCTAACAGAAGTATGCAGGGTTCTGTGGTTATGTGGAGGAAAGTTTCCTACCCGGGTCTGCCAATGTCCAGGGAACACTCCCAGAAGAGAGAATCTATAGAACCAGGTGGGAAGAAATGACAGCTTCCAAGATTGAAGTTCCTCGCTATAAGCAGGGATCATTTAGTCTTTCTGTGATTTCTTTTGTCAGAGTTTTGTAGTTTTCCTTATGTAGCTCTTGCATATTTTTCAGGTTTATATCTAAGTATTTTATATTTTGGGGCACTAATATAAGTGACATTTCATTTGTAATTTAAAAGTCTATTTGTTTATTGCTTGTAGATAAGAACAACATTGACTTTGGCATAGCAGAATATTTTGCAGTCTTTTTTAAAAAGATTTATTTATTTGTTACTTACACATATCCTGCCTGTACCAGATCTCATTACATATGGTTGTGAGCTGCCATGTGGTTGTTGGGGATTGAATTCAGGACGTTTGGAAGAACAGCCAGTGCTCTTAACCCCTGAGCCATCTCTCTAGCCCTATTTTATAGTCTTTTTATAATTACTTTTTAGTTCCAATAGTGTTTTTTTTTTTTTTTTTTTTTTGTAAATTTTATGGTTTTTCTACATGGACAAAGTTTTAAGTTTTGTTATAACTCTTTATCCAACACTTCATTATGAACATTTTCAAATACATGAAAACATCAAGAAAGCTTGACCATAATCACATGTAGACTCAGCTGTCTGCATCCGAATACATTAGTTTCAGCACATACTGATCAGTGCCCTTTCTACTGCTTATCAATCCAGACATCTTGTTTTCTTCACAAATTTTTAGTATGAAAAAGTTAAACACACAAAATAACTAACTTAAAGTACAGAGAAAATTCATGGAGCCATTCCTTAAAGAGTTAACATCGTACGTATTTAGTTTTAAAAGGTTTGTACATTTTGGTTATTCAGTGTGTGTGTGTGTACGCACGTGCGCACATTCATACACACAGAGTCACATGCACACATTCTATGGCAGGGGTTGGTTCTCTCCTGCTACTCTGTAGGTCCTAGGAATTGCACTTAGGGTTGTCAGGCCTGGCAGCAAGTGCCTTTATCCACCAAGCCACCTTCATACCCATGGCTATATGGAACTTCTGTAGAGTCTGGATAGCCTGGTCACTTTTGTTTTTGCGGTACGAGCTCGCAGGGCTTTGAGCAGCATCGCCATCTTGTAGTAGAATCTGAAGGAACTCTTTCATAACCTCAGTTTTCCTGTGTACTGGGCGACTGTTTTTCTGCTTGGGGAAGTTGCTGTAAATCTAGGTGTCATAAAAAGCCTCAAGCAAGTTTGTGGTAGAAGGTGACGGTGACGGACAGGAGACAGACAGGCTCAGTCAAAGAGTCACATGGCTTCCTCTTAGAGAATTGTGACAGCAGGAAAGGAAGAGGAGGTGTGTTTAACTTAGCTGTGTCCTCAAAACCCACAAAGATCTTACAGTCAAGATTCTCAGCCCCTTTTGTACTTCAGCATTACAAGCTCCAATGGACAGATCACACCCCAGACCAGTTCATTCAGAAACGCTGGAGGTGTGATCCTGCCACCAACAGCTTTTTAAAGCTCCTCCTCTTCCCCCCTTGTTAAGTCAAGATGAGGAACCTAGAGATTTACAGCCTTGGGACAGCGGCCCTGAGCACTAATTCTTGTTGGCTCAGCAACGTGACACGTTGGCAGGCTGACATGCTGGCAAACTAGTTTCGTGACACTGTAAGCATTTTCAGGGATACAAGCACACACAGGCACTTGGGTATCATTTATCTTTTAAGCAACTACTAGACCTTGGCCTCTGGTGGCTTCATGTGGCTCAGACTACCTGAAAGTCCAAGGCTAACTGTAGCCCTCAGCAGGTGTGCTTTGCTGAGTAGAGCTCCACCAAGGTAAAGGACCGAGAAAACCTGTCTATTGAAATAAGTGTCACTTTTGCAGATAAGTTTTCTAGCATCTGAACCTTCCCTCCCCCCCCCCCTCCCTCCCTCCCTCCCTCCCTCCCTCCCTTTCTTCCTTTCTTTTTTCCAGACAGTGTTTCTCTATGTAGTCCTATATCTCACTATGTAGACCAGCCTGGCCTTGAACTCACAGAGGTCTACCTGCTTTTGTCTCCCAAGTGCTGTGATGTTTAATGTGCACCACCCCACACGCTATAGTGTCTGATTTTCTGCTCACTGTTCCCATGTACGAAACCAGCTAACTCAGGGCCGGCGTTCTTCCCTTTGCCCCTTTCAAAAGATAATCTGAGCTCCTTGGTATAATTAAATGTTATTTCTGAACTAAATGCTAGCAGTTAAAAATCTGCGGCAGGAGATTGTGTGAGCTTTAGGCCAAGTTGGGCTATATAGCGAGTTTCAGGTCACCCTAGACTGGGGTGAAGCCCTGCCAAAGAAAAAGAAAATAAAAATGTTTTCTGTCAGACAGGTTATTTTACTGTATGTTTAATAGACATACTTAAAAATTATGTTTATTTGTGTGTGTGTGTGTGTGTGTATGTATGTATGTATGTATGTATGTGTATGGGCATGTGAGCATGCATGTATGTGTGAATGCATGCTGGTGCACCTGTGGATGTCAGAGGACAACCTGTGGGAATTGGCTCTCTCCCTTCACCATGTAGGTTCCCAGGTAGCAAACTCAGATCAACATTTTGGGGCAACAGTATTTACGTGCTGAGCTATCCCGCAAACCCTTATGTTTTGTTTTTGTTTTGTGAGAAAGGGTTTATTCGTGTAGCTCTTGCTGTCCTGGATTCGTTTTGTAAACCAGGCTAGCCTCAAACTCACAGAGATATGCCTGCCTCTGCCTCCTGAGTGCTGGGATTAAAGACATGCACCACCATACCCGGCTATATTTACTTCTTAAATGATTCAGTGATACATTGAATTCAGCAAAATATAATCATTGAATTTGTTAATAGAGTATAATTGAGTAACTTGAGCAGGAAAACCGTATAATTCCTAGCTGTACGGAGTAAGATATTTTATCTAGTGATGGTAAAAATGGATGACCAGGCTTGGGCATGGTGGCACACTCCTGGGTTTTCGTTTGTCTGTTTTTGAAATAGGGTCTCACTATGTTTCCCTGGCTACCCTAGAACTTGCTATCTAGACTACGCTGGCCTAGGAATCCCTTGCCTCTCTCTTCCAAGTGCTGGGATTAAAGGGGTATGCCACCACACCTGACAGTGAGTTTGAGGTCATCCTGACCTATGTAGTAAATTTGAGGCCAGCCAGGGCTACGCAATGAGACAGTGTCTTTAAGCAATAAGAAATGGATCATCAATTATATATATAATCTGCTGAAAAAATCACATGAATTCTGGGAATATAGTTCAGTGGTTAATCACTTGCCAAGTATGTGTGTGATTTAATCTTCAGCATTGCAAACATGAAGCAGATAGTTTTGAAATTACAGAATAAGCTGCCAGCATATTACACAAGAGAATGCACAATACAGATCTAGGGTGTTATGGAAAAGACCTCCTCCTTTCACTTGCTCAACTAAGTAGATTTGTGTTCATTCTTGGCCGATGTTTATGGAATTTTTGTAGTGTTAATACTAAGCTAAGAGCTGGAGTCCTAAGGTTTTTCCCTTCCTGCTTACATGGCATCAGAGAGGCAGAAGGGCAAGTCCAGTACACTGAGCAAGTCCAGAGGTGAGAGAAGCCACAGATGCAAAGGAACACATGCTTGTAATTGGTTACTTGCTCAGGATACAGTAAACACACCTATTCCATGTGCCAGGAGTGCCCAGCAGTCCTGGCTGAGTGCCTGCTGCTTCATAGGACGTTAAGAATACAAAGGTATGTTTTCACCGGGTGTGTGTGTGTGTGATAGACTGCCAGATTCACTGGGTTATACTGTCATCTACTGGTGTGTTGTAGATAACTGATTAATAAATAAAGTCCACACCTTTAAACCCAGCACTTGGGATATAGAGGCAGACAGGTCTACAGAGTGAGTTCTGGGACAGCCAAAGCTACACAGAAAGACCCTGTCTCGAAACACCAAAATAAATAAATAAAATTCATCATTTAAGAAATAGTTTTTACTGTGTGTGATGGCTCATACTTGTAATACTAGTTCACAGGAGGATGAAGCAGGAGGATTGCCATGACTTGAAGCCAGCCTGTACTACACAGTGAGTTTCAGACTAGAGCTGTATGTAGTATGAGAGATTATTTAAAAATCTAAACCAAAGCGAACCAAAGAAAGACTAAAAAATAAAAAGAATAAGGGCTTGGTGTGATCAATCTGGTTTATATACAAGCATGTTTCTTTCTTCTTCATTTTTTCAATACTGGAAATGTGACACAGGGCTTGGGGCATGCTAGGTATATGCTCTACCACTGAGCTCCAACCCAAGCCATACAAGTGTGTTAAAAGTTACATATGCAGTATTTCTTGTGAACTGTATCCTACCAAAGAGATATTTGCACATCCACATTTATTGTTGCTGTTTACTATATAAAACAATGAATTAGAATTGACCTTTATATCCTCTAAAGATAAATGAATAATGAAAG